TTGAATTCGTTGCAATAAGAAACCACGTTCTGTTTTCGATACTCATACCTCAAGTCCACAGTTAAAGTGTATGGAATTCTATCCACCCTACCGCTGCTGTGAAATATGGCTACGCGGCGCTCTGTTGATGTCTTGAAGGTCAACGGTTCAATTCACGTCACGACGATCGCGTACAGATGGAGGCAAGATTTAGAATAATGGAAATCGTACTTCAATAATTGATATGTGGCGTTTAACGTCCCAAAACCCCCATATGAATATGAGACACGCCGTAGTAGAGGGCTCCGGAAATTTCGACCACCTGGGGCTCTTTAACGTGCATCCAAATTTGAGCACATGAGACTACATCATCTTTGCCTCCATTGAAAATGCGCCACCGAATCTGGCATTCAATCACGTGACCTGCTGGTCCGCAGTCGAGTACCTTAGCCACAAGACCACCATGGTGGGGCAAATCGTGCCTAAGGGCTTCCAGAAATATATTACACGTGGAGTGGACGAAAAGAAACTGAAAAATAAAGGGGTAGTGCTATTCTGCATGGTTTGTATAATGACTCTTAACAGGTGATTCAAATGTTGTAGGCCCGTGTGCTCCGATTTGGGTGCACGTTAAAGAACCCCAGGTGGTCAAAATTTCCGGAGCCCTCCACTACGGCGTCTCTCATAATCATATGGTGGTTTTGGGACGTTAAACCCCACATATCAATCAATCAATCAACAGGTGATTCAAACTCGTTGTTATTCGGCAACGTGGCCTTCGTCACTGCATACAAAGCGGTCGTGACATGGCGATCTAAGCGAGAAGTTCATTGTGTTCTTGTGCTGATTTCAAAGTAGATAAACGAAGGACTTCTGGAAGGTCCTAATTACAGTGACGTGTATGTCACTGCTCTGCGCTGTTTCAAGTCCATGCTGGTGCACAGTCCATGCGCCATTTTGGAAGACCTGCGTAGCCTGCAGAACAGGGTGCGCAACATAGTGAGAGTGGTGCTCATCAAGTGTGCTCATGGCGGAAACAAGTGAGCACTTCCCTCCTTATATACCCGTAAATACCCGCATATAATACGAGGTTTTTTCCCAAATATTAGCGTTCTGAATTTCTGCTTCGTACTGTGTGCGGATCCGAACGAAAACTTGCTCGAAAAACGAAATTGTGCTTGAAGTTTCGGTTTCCTAACTGCCGCTTGGCTACGGCTTCGTTTTGTCGGCGAGTGGCTACGGCTTGGCTTTGTTATCTTCGCGCCCTCGCGGGGCAAAAGTGAGCGCTAGCGCCATTTATTTTTTTGTTGTTGAGTGTTTTTTTGAGCGCTTGTACATCGGACGGGCGGACGTGTGAACCTCGCTGTGTTCTGTGCCTCACTTCGCAAAGGTGCAACAAGCCAGGGCACCGAAACCAGTACTCGGCTGCATTCAAAAGAAAGTTCATCGCAGCTGCCGGGGAAATCACCAACAGTGTGGCCGAAAGACACTTCGGAGTCACCGAGAGAAGTGTCCGTGGATGGCGACGACGGAAAGAAGCTCTTTTTGCGCGCAGCGAAAGTGAAAAATTCGCGGTCCAAAGAAAGTGGCCTTCCCAGAGATTGAACTCGCGCTGACAGAGTTCGTTAGACAGCAGCGGGTGGTGCACTTGCCAGTCAACACGGAACTCATGCAGATGAAAGCCAGGGAGCTGGCGAGAGAAAAGGGGATGTCGAGCTCAGACTTCAAAGCCAGCAAGCACTGGATATACCGTCACATGTGCCGAGCTGGATTATCCCTGCGTTGGCGAACCTCCATTTCTCAGAAGCTCCCTGCAGCCTTTGAAGAGCTTTTTATCTCATTCCAACGCCATGTGATTACGTTGCACCACTTGCAGAACTTTCAGCTGAGACAAATCGGCAACGCCGATCAAACGCCAGTTTACCTGGACATGCCATCGCCCCTTACAGTCCATGAGAAGGGCTCGAAGCAGGTTAGTGTCCATACCACCGGCAATGAAAAAACGTGTGTCACAGTGATGTTATCGTGCACGGCCGACGGCCACAAGCTCCCACCTTATGTCGTCTTCAAGCGGAAGACATTGGCGAAAGGGGAGAAGCTACCGAAAAATGTCATCATGAGTCACGATAAAGGTTGGATGAATGAAGACCTTGGCCTAGACTGGGTAAAGTTCGTGTGGTGCAGACGGCCTGGTGCCCTGCTCTTTTTTTCCATCCATTTTGGTGCTGGACGCGTTTCGCTGCCATTTGGCCGACACAGTAAAGAGGCTTCTGCGCGACTGCGGCAAGGAACTGGTCGTGATCCCGGGTGGGATGACATTTCAACTGCAACTTCTCGACCTTTGTTAAAATAAGCCGTTCAAGCATGCGGTTAAGCCTTGCTACGCTGAGTGGATGCGCTCAGGTGAGCCTGCAGTGACGCCGACCCGGTGGCTGCAACGGGCGTCACCGGCTACGCTATGCAAATGGATTGTGGACGCTATGGCAAGCATCCCAGAGAACCTTGTGTGTCGTTCCTTCAAGTAGTGTGGCACCTCTAATGCCCTCGATGGTGCAGAAGACGAGCACCTATTTGATGATCTGTCTGACAAGGAAATGTCCGAGGAAATCGCAGTTGAAGACGACAGCGATTGACATGGCGGATGTCTGCTCAATAAATGTGTTTTCGGTGACCTTTCTTACGTCGTTTTATACGCGGGTACAATTTTTTTTCATTTCGCGCCTCTCAAGTTTGGTCTCGTACATATTATATTCGGGTTCGTATTATACGCGGGTATTTACGTTAAGTATTTTTTACTGCTAGCAGTAAACTTGCGTATTTGCTTTGCAAAAATCAGTAGGAATTCGCGAAGGCGAATTCATTGACAACTCGAAGCATGTGCAGTTAAACCTGCTTACAGGGGTGGAACAGGGTACATGGGTTTGGGAGCAGTCCTGGGAGCAGGCAAAAATGCTTTTTGTAGCAGGCTCGAAGCAGCCAGAGAGACGTTTTAAAGCAGGCTTGGAGCAGCCATGAGGGCCCTTTTCGAGCAAGCTTAGAGCAGTAGAAATATTCAGAGCAGTCTTGTCACCACTCAAAGCACTTCTGATGATGCATTTGTTCAATGCAACCTTTTTTTAAGCACAGCTAAATTGTGCAATAGTCTGATTATCGCAATAGAAATATTGTAAACACACCCAGCAGGTTTGTGCCATAGCCGTCATGTCGCGTGTAAATTCCAAATTTATAATATACTCCAGCGCATCATATGTTCTATCCACGAGTAAAAGCGCGAAGCGGGGGCGACGAACGCGGCTGAAGCAGAGCTCAAACGATCTGGCCCATCTCCGCCGCCCGGAGGTCGCATGCGACAACATTCGATACCCCTACCTGGGAGGCCTGTAGTCGAAGCAGAGAGGAAGCACACCGCCAGTCTTGGAAGAGCATTAAAAATCACAGCATATTGACGGAGTGAATGATGATGAGTGGGTCGAAGTGTTCGTTTGTCTGGACGCACGGAAGCACTGACGGAAGCAAGGACAGACGGGCAGAAGCACGAACGGACAGACAGACAGATGGAGAGACACGCAGACGGACGGAAGCATGGAAAGACAGATGGACGGGCGAACGGATGGATGCACGGACGGATGGGGACACAGACAGACGCTTCGCCTCACTAATCATCATTCACTCTGTGGATATGCTGTGAAAACCACTAACACCATCTAGTTATATTATTTTCAAGGACATATATACACAACGCCATCTATCGAATAACTCAAACTAGAGATTGCTACATACTACTACTGCAACTACAGAGGGAGCCTTACAGCCTAAGGAGCTTCGCCTCTAAAGCAACAAGCAGAGAGGGGGGAGGGCCAGGTGTCACTCGAGCAACAACTATGAACTTTCCTTTTAAGGGTGTGGTCGCGATCGCTGGTGCACAGGCTAGCTCGGCAGCCACCAGCGGGCGACTCTCATACACTTTAACATGCTGCACTCTCGTCACACTGAGAGTGTCCAAAAAGTGTTGCTCTCCTTGCAGTGATCGTATTCTCTTACATTAGCGTTTTGTAGAGTTACATGAGCTAGGATCCAAATAAGTTAGCTGCCAGTGTCACTTTGTATAACCTTGCAATTTGCTGCTATCGTATACATTGCATCACACTTGCATTGAAACTGCGACTTTCCCGCCCATGTTTATTTTTTGTTTTTTTTTACCGGAAGGAGCGATCGACAACCGTAGAGTCGATAAGCATGAACCACAATGGCCAAAAACGAGCATACGCTTCATGAGCACTCATGTGCATGGTGCACCCACCGGTCATTGCGAGGCTGTTTGGAAAAGCGGACACCACTCCTTTCTTTTGAGCGCAGTTACTGCAATCTTCGATTTCTTTTCCGAACGCTGACATCATGTTATAAAAACAGTTCACCGGATTCGCAAAGCAACGTTTCAGACTGCAACAAAATGCAAGGCTCTCTTAGATCCGATATCATGTAACTATAAACCAGGGAGAAGTTCCCTTATCACCGTCTATTCACGTTGAGAGCACAGCATGTAGAAGGGTTCGCGAACTACTCGCCCTGATGCCTGCCGTGATCGCAAGCGTTGAGCGATAGCAACCACACCCTTAGGATCGAAGTTCACAGCTGCTCCTGGATCACAGCCTTTACGAAACCAAAAGGCTGCGAGTCGCGAAAACAAGCATGCACGCGTTGTTTACAGCTTTAGTTCTGTATTGTCGTAATTGTTGAATTTCGAAAAAAGAATGAGTGGAAGTCGACAAGAATTAAGTACGTCTAGTCATTGTGGTAGAAGATATATCAAGGCCTACGACTTGCCACGGTAGGCTCGGTATCTCGTGGCTCAGCATTGGTAGACGGGTATTTCTGAGCTTGTACTTGAGGGAAGCTGTACATAGGAATGAAATATTTGTGGTATATTCGAGTCCAACCATTACCTGTCTGGCTATCATCTTCATTTTTTTTCTTTTCTGCGCGAGCGGCGTGCAGCAAGCGGAGGACTTCTCGTCGCTTGACTGGAGGAATGACGATTTTATTGCTCCTGAGTAGCAGGCCATCCTCGACGTGCAGCTCATCACGGTAGCACCAGTAATTGCGCTGGGCATCGTACAGTTGGTCCTTCGTTTTCGGCCATTCCGTGCTTGCGTAGGTGGGAAGTTCAGCCATGGCAGCATCTTTGTTGGTTTCATTGGGAATGCTCTCGAGCTGTTTGTCTAACACAGAAAGAGAAGAAATTATGTTGATATTAAATTGGTCTGCCTCATCCTTGAGCTCAATAGGACTTGGGAAGCGAGAAAGCTCGTCTGCTAGGAAGAGCTCCTTTTTCTGGTTTATAAGTCACTTTGATTTGGAACCTTTGTATAACAAGCCGCATACATGGAAATCTCAGTGGGCACTCGCACAGCGGTTTTTAAACATGTGCTCTAAAGGTCTGATCAGACTCGACGATAACTTCGGACTGCCCAATGATATAATCTTGAAATTTTGAGAAGCTGCGAACAATGGTGAGCGTTTCTTTTTTGATTTGCACGTATTATTGCTGTGGTTCGGTTAGTGAATGCGATGAATGGGCTATCGGTTGCCCATCCTGGAGAAGAACAGCTCCTACACCACGCTGGCTGGCGTATACTGACAATATCACAGGTTTTCCTCGGTAAAAATACGCAAGTACAGGTGCCCGTGTGAGTGTTTCTCGAAGTTTGCAAAATTTGTCATTTTGCTGGTCTGTCCAGACCCATGCAGCGTCTTTTTTCAAAAGATCACATAGCGGTGCAGGCAAGGTGGACATGTTCTAGAAAAGCGTGCCACAAAATTTATCATACCGAGAAAAATTTGGAGTTCCTTACGGTTTTGCGGAGGAGGCAATCGCATGATGTCTTCCACTCTACTGGGGTACAGGCGCATCTCTTTTTTGGTGAGAACGTGGCCCATTTAGCGGACTCTGCAATGAAAAAAAATAGTACTTTTTCTTATTTAGTTTCAAGTTGTGTTGTATGCATCACTCAAGCAAGGCGCGCAAATTGTTATCGTGCTGCTCTCGCGATTTTCTCCAAACAAGTATGCCAATTATTACGGCAGCAACGCCCTTCAGGCCCTCCAGTTTTTCATGCATCACACGCTGAAAAACTTCTGGGGTGGAAGATATGCCGAAATACATGCGCAGAAACCTGTATCGACCGTAGGGAGTGCTCATTGTGCATAGGTGGGAGCTCGGCTTGTCTAACTTTATCTACCAGAATCCCGATGTCGCATGGAAGGTGGAAAAAAATTGTGCTCTATGCAGCCGCATCAAGTATATTCCAAAGTTGACATGTGGTAACGTGCTCTGAGAATAGCCTTGTTCGAATCTGACGGGTCTAAGCAAATGCACAGCTCACCTTTCTTTACTATCACAACTATACGGCTTCACCAGGCAGTAGGTTCTGTTACCTTAGCAATGACTCCGTCTTGTTCCTTCTTGTCAAGTTCCGCTCAGATACGTTCTTGAAGGCCAACGGCGACGCACCTTGCAAACCTAATGGTGTCTTGAGCTTCCGGCTTCAACTGCATTTGGTAGGCGACGTCCTTGATTTCTGCCAGCCCCTGAAAAACATCTTCAAAACATTTGATTAGTACCTCAGGTTCTGGCGTGCTCACCGTGTTTATGCGGCAAATCAAGCCTAAACGTTGACAAAGTTTCCACTTATTGTCACAGGAACCGCTTGTTTCACAATAAAGAACAGCGCTGTTGTCGCTTTTGTTCCACTAACGATGTTAAGCTTATTTTTTTGTGATGCATTTTCCTTGTGCCCAAAGAACGGCCGTAGTGTAGAGCCCCAAGTTTGTAGTGGATGTGTCGTTTTATCCTTTAGCATGTGTCCGGCATGACGCAGCAAATTGCTCCGGTATCAATCTTACATCTTATGGTGAGCCCTGTGACCTCTAGCGTGGCAGACCAGGGTCATGCTCTTCAAGAATTGCAACATTTGTGGAAAATAATTTTGTTCCTCTATCACCTCGACCTGCTTTATTCTGCGTCCTCGGCTTCTCTGTGTCACTTGCGGTTTACGAAACACGTGGGCGAAGTGGTTTCGGCTGCCACACTTGTTACAGCGCTTGCCTTGAGCAGGACGCCTTTCTTTTTTGTGTTCCGATAGGCCACAGTTTCCACAAGTCCTGACAGTGGTTGTTGTGTTCAAAGAATGTACTCTACTCTTGTGTGCTTGAAGAAACCTGCCCAATTTCGTCAAAACGATGTTGCCATTGCTTTTTGTCCCGGCAAATTTCAACAGCTTTGGTGTACTAAGGGTTTCCCGCCAAAAGCTTCTGCTGTAAGCTCTTATTATTGATTCCTAGAATATTTCGACTGTGCAACAGTCTCTTCTAGTTCACATTTACGTGCCAGGGTTCTAAGATCTATTAACCACTCCTTGAAACTCTTGCCCTCTCACTGGTCCCGGGAGCCAAAACGAAATTCGTTGAACGTTAGATTCGTCACTGGTTTGTAGTGAGCTTCAAAATTTTCAATAAGCTTGTCTACATTTTGCTTCTCATCCTCATCTTCAAACTTAAAGGTTTAGTACGCTCGCCTTCCTTCTTCGCCAATGATTACAAGAAAAGTTGCCGCCTGAACTTCTTAGTCTGTTGCTTCAATCTGGTCGCCGTAAAATAGAGTGCAAACTCACTTTTCTATGTAGTCCAATTGTGAAAGACGTTACCAGTAGTGTTGAGTGGCATTGGTGGTATAAGTTGCGTCGATGCCATATTTGGTTGTCTGCTGGGCTCTACTTGGGCCATGAGGGAGACGGTGGTGCACTTTAACGAAAGGGCAAGCGGAGCGCATTGCCCACTACTTCTGACACCATGTCAACGAGCGTAAACAGTGTCTGAAAAGCGTGTATTGTCTGGTAAACCACTGTTTATATAGGACAGACACACAAGCTGTGACATGCGCAGTAGGTGACTGTCTACGGCATGTGTACATGACGAAGCTTCTAGTTACAGTCTATAGACAGTGAGGAAGATACGCCGGACTAGCGCGGGGCGCGTGGGCACGTACGCCATTCAGCACTCCTGGAGCGAAAGCAAAACTTGTTAGACGGTGAAAATTCAAGCATAAATAAACGCATACTCAGTAGTAACGCTCCAGCGCGAAGCCATGGCTGCTCAACGAGTTAAGTCGCTGTAAAAAAAAAGACAGAAAACAGGGCAAAAGTTAGCACGACAAAGCACTGAAAACACAAATGAACGGTAACAGGGCTAACCCACATGTGCTCTGTCTATAGCAGGCGTACGACACAACGTGTTGTGCAGACCTGACGAGCTATAACCGCTTGACATTCGCACGCCAGTCTTCAACAAGCCGGCAAACTGAAACAGGCCACGTGTCACGGCCCGCGAAAAGCACGTATGACAACCAGAAAAGAATGGCGCGAAATAACAGTGGTGGTTTTATGGGCATTGCAGTTGGTCATGTGAAATAATCCAGAGAACACAAAAAGCTGATTGCCTTACCTGCCAAACTATAGTGAACTGCCCCACCGTGGTGGTCTAGTGGCTAAGGTACTCGGCTGCTGACCCGCAGGTCGCGGGTTCAAATCCCGGCTGTGGCGCCTGCATTTCCGATGGAGGCGGAAATGTTGTAGGCCCGCGTGCTCAGATTTTGGTGCACGTTAAAGAACCCCAGGTGGTCAATATTTCCGGAGCCCTCCACTACGGCGTCTCTCATAATCATATGGTGGTATTGGGACGTTAAACCCCACATATCGAATCAAAGTAGAGTGAACTAGAATATACTACATTCTAGTTCACTATAGCTTATCAAGCTGAGCCTACCTGTCTCTGCATGTCCCCGCAAATATCGACCTGAAGTAGGGGCAAGTTAAAGGAAACCATCCACTAAAGTTACACGGGTGGGTTCCTTAAAATAAGCTAAACTCAGTTGAACTAAGCTAAAAATATTGTGAGGGATGTTCGGTGAACACACCATCATCCCCTGCTGACATGTCACAATATGGAGCTCACCGATTTGATGCCGAGTACAAAGCTCCAAGTGGTCATCGATGAAATTCCAGTGACGAGATTCCTTGTGCATATAGTTCAATACGTCCAGCTGAATTGCACACACAAAAAGGCAAAACGCAACTCGAGCGTACTGCAAATCGCGCACCTCTCGGCTGAACATCGCTGCATACACCATTCCACGGCGCTGCAAGATCTGCCGGCTGCAAAATGCGTAGCATGACGAGCAGCGAGTGAAAAATGGAGACAAACCACCCGCTTGTAACTCCTTGAAGGTGATGCTTCGGTATTAACGCATGCGTCATTGCAGGAAGAGCTGATCTCGCCTTTACGTCAAGATATCGTTCATCGCCGTCTTATCGGCGTGATCTCCGCCCGCCTTATGATGGAGGACAGAAAAGAATGAAAAGATTCAGACAAATAAAACAGAAGGATGACGCATGGCACTGGGATTCGGAATATTCTAGAAGTGCCTACGCTATATACAGAGCGGAAGCAGTCAAATCGCTTCCATGAGGCCGCCTTTCTGCGTGCACCATGCGCTCTTCAATTGCAACCCAAACTAACAGCATCACTTACAATTATGCATCGAACATGAAGAAATAATGAAACCAGTTACATTTTCTATCATTGATTTACTGTTGGCGTGCCGCCTTTTTTTTTTGACTCCGTCGCAATAATAAATTACGTTTCGTTTTTTTACTCATACCTCAACTGCGCAAGTGAAGAAGAGGACCGCTATAGTGGGACACCCTCTGCAGCACAGTGCAGTGGGCTGGCTTTCCTACGCAATGCTCGAGAAAACGCTCCGCAATCTTGAGGTCTGCGCACTGATCTAACGTTGAGATTTTATGCTAGCGTAAGACACTTTCACAGGTGGCTTAGGTACAAGTGCTTATATGCCGTTATTTTCCAATCCGTTCCTGTTTTAGTCTGAGTTGGAGGCAGCCATGCATCAATACTGCTAAGGACACTTCAATTATACCATGCACGTTTGCTCACAAGTCTTCTGTGGCTTGTAAAATATTTTGCAGAAACACCAATTGGTCGCCGTGAAGCACAGATATTTTATGCACATACCAATATGTGTGCTACAAGTTCTGTTGTGCGCATGAAATTGAGTGTGTGAATTCAATGTCATATATTTTATTTATTCATTTATTTATTTATTTATTAAGTACCTGCTTCGCCATAAGGATATACAGCAGGGAGGGGACAGTACATGTGATCAAACTTATAAAAACATTCATAAAGATGGCAAAAATGATCACTTGAATCAATAGACACTATTTCCGGTGGCAGAGTGTTCCATTCTTTTACAGTACGGACAAAGAAAAAGTAGCAAAAAGCGTCACCCCCAAAAGGAATCTCGCGTATTTTTAAGTGATGATCGCGTCTTTTAGAAACATAGTTGGGTGGTTGAAAATACAATTGCCTGATGATCCCTGTTCTCGAATGATAATGCTACGAAACAATTTTAATCTGAGGTTTCGACGACGCTTTTCAAGAAGATTCCAATTTTTTAAGGTTTTATTGAAGCAGTTATAAAAGGTTGTGACCCTGTAGCACTGGCCGGCTTACAGTAAGACACAAATATGTTGTAATTGCGAGCATTCAGATGTTCCAATTATGTGGCATGCATACGTACGTCTTCATTGCTGAAACGGATAAGCATGGGCACATATCAACCTTTTGTATACGCGACCTTTTTCATCTTAAGCTGACAGCAGTAGTAAGGGCCAGCCCAGATTTGTGCAACCTAATCACGGCTTCAACCACCTTAGCAAGATGAAGGGGCCCGGTTATTACACATTGGAGGTGCACCTGTGACCTGCCTTAAGAATGTCTATCTATCTATCTATCTATCTATCTATCTATCTATCTATCTATCTATCTATCTATCTATCTATCTATCTATCTATCTATCTATCTAT